TTGTTCTTATTGCTGCTAAAGTGCTCACTTGCCACAGGAGCAATCTTTAGGCTCCTGTCATTATTTAAATTTTAACCTCTTATCTCCTGTTCTTATCCTCTTTGGTCACAGAAGCACACTCAGGTTAGTCCCACGATTTCCAGGTGTCCTCCAGCCGCACTATTCTGTCCACAAAAATCAGACAGATCGGTGTCCTGGATAAGCTTTGGTCCATCACAGAAAATTAATTCTAGCTGCATTGGCCTTATGGGAGGGCTTTGACTCAGGAGAACCAAATGACTATTTACAAGAGGGAGGTTGGGAATCATTCCAATAGATGTGTGCCTGCAGCCAGCAGTATTTTCAGCCCAGGTGGTGAGTTTTGGAGCAGGGGCTGAGATGTCAGTAATATTACTGGATGTGGTGTGAGGGGCCTGGGACAAGCACTTCCATAATGTAAATGACTGCCAGTCCATTTCCCTGTGGAAAGGAGCTAGTCAGTGTTTCCAACGGGATGAGTGCTGGTCCCTTGTGGAAAGCTGCTGTGGGGGATGAGCCAGCCTTGTTCACAAGGGTGGCTGCAAGCAGGAAAATCCTGTGCCTGCTGCTTTCCAGTAGCTGGGGGAGGACAGGACGTGCCTGCAGCCACTGCCATGACTGAGAGATGTGGGATGGGACGTGCTGTGATGTGGCTCCCCCAGGAATGCAGCACATGGCCCCCTGGAGCGAGTGCCCTGAGGCTGGTCCCCATCTCTCAGCAGCCTGGCTCTGTCTGACTTCTTGCTCTTGCTTTGCTGCAGTGGAACAGGGAGAGCAAGATAACCTTGAAGGTTTTATAACCTGAGACTCATTCCTTCTTCTCCTTTGCTCCTGGCAATGTACCAATTATTAATTAACAGGCAAATGCTAGAGAAAAGGCCAATGTACATAGTTCATTTCCATAAATATAAATGCAGCAGTCCCCAAGTCAGCTTTTATTAACAGTGAACCCAATTGCTATGAATAAATAGCCTGGAAAAAACCCAGAAACTATTCCGAACTTGATAAAAAGTGAGAACTGAATCCTTTTAAAAGATTCTCTTTTCTGGCTGTCATGCACATCGTCCTACCTGTGAAAAACCTCAGGCAAGAAGAATTTGTGTCACCAAGTGATATAACATCTAATGCCCTGAACACACAACTTCCCTGTAACCTGCTACTGGGAAATCTTTGCTGCCCTGCAACTCCCTGACAAGGGCTGTACACTGCATCTAATCATGATGCTGAGTGAAGGTGGTATTTTTGAATATGTAGGCAAAATAGTTATTCCAGATTCAGGCCAAATTAAAGTTGCTGCAATCAGAAGCATTTGCTTTGTTTCTCAGGAGAGGAAAAACAAAGAGAAGAGCAACAATTTACTACTGTGTCCGTCACAAAGCTTAGCTTTACAGACCTGAAACATGAAAATCCTGCTTCTTCTATTGAAGCAAACTGCAGAATAACTTCAATAGCGCATTTTTCGGGCCTCCCTTAGTTCCACCCAAACACAACCAGCCATCCAGGAGAGGTTGTACATCTGTGTTTAGATGTGATCCCTTGTGTCCTGCTTCATCCTACAGTGCATGCTGGAGGTGGCCTAGGGACTGTACTCCCTGGAAGATGTAATTAGTGTCTGCTTCATTGTCAGTGCTTTAAAAAGTATATTTTTATGAGGTTACTCCTTACTCTGGCACTACCTGTCTCAATAGCTGGATACCAAATCCTGTTTCTCAGAAGCCCCTGCCAAATCAACAATGTCAACAACAACAGCAAAAGCTTGGGAACAGCACGTCTGGGTGCTGGTAGGAGCTGTTTCTCAGTAATTAATAGATAAGGTTGCATCAGGTCATGACACAGGATGGCAGGACATTGGGTGGATTTGTGTCCTTGCTTGGCAGTGTTGTTTTCTCCTGCCTTGGTTGCTGTAAGCAATAGGGCCCGCCGAAAAGGGAGAAAGATATATAAATAAAATAAAATACATATGAATCTGAAGTGGCTGAGGTGCTTCTAAACAAGATAGGGTGCTGGCATGGCCTTAGCATGACCCTGCACTAGCCAGTGCAGGCAGAGAGGGGTGTAGGAAGGAGGCTGGTTTAAAGAAGGTGGGCTGTCTTTCCACGTGGCCTTCCCTGCTCCCTCACTTTGCAAAGGAGTTGGTGAGCCTTTTGTTAAGCCAGCATGCCCACCTTGTCCCCTAAACCCCCGTGGGGACACGAACTTAGGGGTAGGTGTCCTGGCCCCCAGTGAGAGTTTGAGGGGCAGGAGGGAAGGAGTGACTCTCAGGCTTTGGAGTCAGGATGGGATGGGGGAGAGAGTTGCTTTGTGGGATTGCTTTGAGCTAATGAGACTGTTAAACCTGATGACTGTCAGGGGAGATTTGAGTTTAGAGCTGGAGCAGTTTTCATGCCGTTGCAGGGATGAGGTGCAGGACAGTGCTGTGCTCACTGGTACTCAAACCAGGACCTGTTAATTGGCAGCATCAGTAAGAAACCTCTCCAGACTCAACGCTTTGCCTGGCATTGACGCACAGATTTGGGGAAGGTTGATCTGCCTGCTTGGGAGAGCAGGGCTGGAAAGTGAGCTCCAGCCTCACCCTTTGCTGGTGTTTTTGGGGTGTAGCTGCACTGAGCACAGCAAGGGCATCACAGTGAAGCAGTTGTTTGAAAACATGGCTGTGCTCCGTGGCAATGTTGGTATCTTCCTCCTTTCAGCTAACCCTTGAGGCTGCCAATTGGATCAGGGAATATATTTGGATTAAAACACCTCCCCCCCCAAAGGTTTCAAAATGCAGCCCCGTGACCAGTTAAGTCGGTGTGATTACAGAGGAGCAGGCACGGCCATGGGTGTGGGACTGGGAGGAGAAGTGTCCCTCCCCCAAAGACAGCAGACCATTTCACCATTGTCCAAACTTTTCAGCTTTAATGTGTTTTTCCAGGCTCCTTAACACCCGGTGTTACATGATACACTGCTATAGTTGATTTTTGTTTTCTTTTTTTTTTCTTTAGTTGATCTCAAAACATATTGTTATGAAATCTCCCGTGCAATGGAGCCAAGCTTTTGGCTGCCAGACACTTAATTCTCTTTTCCAGCCCTGTGTTATTTAATGGACAATGATGCTTTGCCGATTTAGGGTAATTCCTCCCTTTGCTGTAATCTTTCTGCGTTGATGAAAAAGACAGCTTTACTCAAACGTGAAGTACATATATTAATATTTGAAGAGGAATGAAATATGCAACGTCTCTCCCAATGCACTGTGAATGGGGATGTTTCTTCCAGACTCCTGAGAGATTTAAAGAGCAGCTCCAAATGACTCGCTGCAGGTTTTCCACTGGCATTCATTGGCAGAGTATGGGGAGCTCAGTATGTGCTGTGGGTACTCATGATGTTTGCCAAACCAGTTGTGTTTATGGCATTGCACATCAGCTACTGAGTCTTGGTGAAAATGAGTGCTGTAAAATGGAAGTGCATCAATGTGTATTTTCGTGGATCACGGGGACATCCTTACCACTCCCTTTGCAGTGAAAGCAGTTTTAAGTGATTATGCCAGGTGACATTGTGAGGTTATTCCTTTGGTTGGGCCTCTCCTTATACTGGACTCAGAATGCAGGTGCTAAAATTAGAAACAAATGGCATGTGTTCATTTTCATCCTGTACAGGACAAAAAGCTGTGAGGTTCACGTCCGTGGGAACTGCTGGTTGCTATTGATCTGTCCAAGACTGAAGACTCCACTCTTTGCTGTAGCAGCACACATTTTTATGTCTTATTTCAGTCGGCATCCTAGGTCTTAAAGAGATTCCTTTAGTTTGTTTCAGCAGGGATGTTTGGCTAGGATTTGTAGTGTCATCAGCTTAGTAAGCAAAGAACAACACAAAAAAATAAAGAGGGTTACTAATGAATGAGTCATGAGTGATTAGTATCAGCCCTGGAAGGCAAATCTCCAAAATCGGAAATTCTCAGAAACTTATTTACTCAGGGAAGCCTCGACAGCCTAAAACACTCATTTTCTCCTCCCTCCTGGTCTCGGTGACAAAGCTTTGAAGACGATCCACGTAAAGGTGGGCCAGCTGCAATTACCTGGCTTAAAAAGGAGGGACATTAAAGAGAAGAAAAAAAAAAATCACGTGGAACGGCATTTTCCAGCATGGATGAGGGGTTGATGCCGTGTGGGGAAACAAACAAACAAAAAAAAAGACAAAATTGCCATAAGGTGAGGTAGGGCGATGCCCACACAGACACAGCTCGCTGCAAAACACCCCGTCCGAGCAGGAGGGAGGTGTCACCCGGGGCCACCCCCCCGGGAGGAGGAGGGTGCCCGGCTCGGGGCTGTTTCCACAGGGAGGGAGCAGCACCTGGCCCGGCAGAAAGGCGAACGGCAGCGCGGTGATGTCCGGGGCGGCACCTCCTTCCCCTCCCTCGTCCAACAAAAAACCCCACGTTTTTTGAGGTAAATACCCTCTCGTTTTACCGGTTGGGCTCGGGGGCGGCCCCGCGGAGCCCCAGGGAGGGTGGGGGGGTGGTGGTGGGAAGGAGCAGGCTGGGGAAGGGAGCTCCGCCCCCCCGCCCGCGCGTCTCCTTAGGGACGCGGCCGTCCGGCAACCGCGGGGGCCCCCCGCGCCCGCCCACGGCTCACGTGCCCCGCCCGGACCCGCGGGGCGCGCGCCGCGCGCTCTCCGCCAACCCGCTGCGCCGCCGACCGGGCCGGTGGGCGGGGCCGCGGCGAGAGCGCGACGCTCAGTGCCTCGCCCCCGCCCGCCCCCCGCCTGCAGCGCGCGGTGCGGCCGCGGCGGCGCCTGGCTGGGGTTGGGGGGTGGGGGGGGGGGAGCGGAGGCGGAGGCGGCGGCGGCGCAGGCGGGCGGTGCGCGCGCCCGCGCGGGAAGGCGCGCGCCGGGCTCCGCCACAGGGCAACAAGTGAGGAGGGCGCGGCCCCGCCCGCCCCCGCCCCGCCGCGGGTGCGCTCCCCCCTCGCGTCCTGCTCCGCGCCCCGGCCCCGCTCCGCCCGCCGCGGGCTCTCGCACCTCAGGCGCGGCCGGCCCTGAGGGGAGAGAGGAGCGGGCGGTGAGCGCCCGTCCCCGCGGGGGAGGAGGAGGAGGCGGCGGCGGGACGGGACGAGCCCCCTCCGCGGCGCCGCCCCGGCATCGCCCCTCAGGTGCGGGGGCCGGCGGGGCCGGGGCAGGGCGGCGGGCCGGGGGTGGGAGCCCCGCGGCGAGGGGCAGCCCCGCGGGCGGACAAAAGCATGGTGGAGGCGGGGGCGGCGGCAGGAACATCCCCGGCCGAGACCCGCGGCTGCCGGGCAAGGTACGTGCGGGGAAGGTTGGGGGGGGGGGGGGGGGATTCGGCTACGGGCTGCGAGAGGAGCTTAGGAGGGACAGGGCGGGGAGAAATTAAAAATAAAATAATTTTTTAACTTAATTTTTACCTCTCCTGGTTTTCCAGGTCGCGAGGTTTTCCTTCGTCGCAGCCCCCTCGCTTTATTTGCGCGCTGACCGCCGTGAGCTGGCGGCGGAAAGGCGAGCGCTCGCAGACATGTATTTACTCGGAATTTCGGAATTTGATGTTTTGGTTTTGTTTGTTTTTGGTTTTTTTCTTAGGGCTTGGGGTTTTTTGGTTTGGGTTTTTTTTTTTTCCTCCCCCCCCGAATGGGAGGTGACAGGCGGTGGAAGGGTGGGGTTACACCACGCGGGCGCACGGGGAGCACCGGCGCCCGGCACATGTTGCAGCCAAACCAGGCGAGAGGAAAGGCGGGGAAGAAGAGGCACGATCTGCTGGCATGGATGAAACTTAGGCCAGCTCAACCCCACCGTATGTTTTGTCGTCGTTTGCCTTTTTTTTTTTTTTTTTTTTTAATTTATTTAAGCGTGGGGAGGGCGGAGTTGGTGCTGAAGCCGTGAGCTTTTCGCGGAGAAAGCCCAGTGCTGCAGTGCTGGGTGCTGCTGCAATCCGCTCCTTGGCTGGAGGGGAGGGCAGCGCCCGCCGGGTGCGGAGCGGGGAGACCCGCACAGCTCCTGGGCTCGGCTCGTGTCGGCTCATCTCAGCTCATTAGCGGGCTGCAACCCAGTAGCTTAATTATTAATGTCCGCCAAGCCCTGGGATTTTGCGCTACAGTGTAGTGCTGAGGTATTGAGTGGCTCTATAACATGGGCTTCGGTGAAGCTGAAAGGGGGAAAATTACGTTTTTGCCAGAATTGGCCCTGAATATACGTGCTCCATCACGAGATGATGCTTTTTAGTCCTTTAAACTTCCTGAGACCTACTGTACCCGGTCAGGGGTGGGGGACTTCAGGTTACTCGCTGTAATTGTGGCTGAACTGCAGCTCGCAATTCATTAGTCATCCTGCAAAAATTCGTGGTGAAAGTTACTTGAGTAACCCTTTAATCCGGCTTCCCAAAATGCTCAGTGCTCTTAGAGTTGATTATTAAACACTAATGTTTAGTTTTAACTATGCAAATTAAGAGTTTGCGTGGTGCAGTTGAGGTTTTTTTTCCCTGTGATTTTTCTTTTGTTTTGTTGTTGTTGTTTTGGTGTTTTGTGGGGTTTTTTGTTGTTTTGTTTTTGTATTTTGGACAGAGAAGGTGGGTTTGGGCACAGAAGAATTTCATCTGGACGCGGGAAGATGCATAAAATTACATGCTAGATATATACTCCTAAAGTTGTTGAGGAAACATGATTATAGCGTTCTCCTTTGAGGAAATTTCTGGTAAACTATTTCTCGCCTGTCTTTACAGAGAGACAGCGCGGAATTTAGTTCTCTCTTTAAGCTGCTTGAAACGGTTTCATGTTCTTCTTTGCAGTTCCGCTTTGGCGTCGGGTCCTGGTGGTGTCACCGAGGGCGTGTGTGGAGGGTGGGGTGGGGGCAGCAGATGGCTCTCGGGTGAGTGGTACGGTTGGTGTTTCGTTCAGGTGGCTGCTGGCAAGGGCTGCCTTGTCACTTAGTGACCCAACCTAATGCCTGATAGACTACTGGAGGAGTTGAATTAGCTCCCAATTATTACGAAATGCGTGGAGGAAACGAAACAGAGAATCAGCTTTTCTCATTCAGCAGATGTAATTTCTAATGTGTTTTGCTTGTTCCTTTTTTTTTTTTTCTTTTCTGGGGCCATGAACAACGTGACACAATAGTAGAATCTTTAAAAAGCAGTACTGCCGTGGAGGTGAATTGAAATACAGAATGTTTGTCATATACCTAAAAAGACAGTGCTGTCGGTTAGAATCAAAATATTTTGGCTTAAAGGAACCCCTCGTTTTGCTGCTTGCTTTGAACATGTGACTTTCTGCACGAGATGTTGTGCAGTACAGTTGTGTGGCTATATATTCCAGCCAAAAACTGGAATTTATTTAAAGCAATTTTGTCATCTATGGATTTATGCTCATGTCTTTTCTCCACATACTATTAAAAGATGAGAAAAGTGCTGGAAAGCGAGATGCAGCAGCAAGGTAACACTGCTGAAGGGACTTGTTTTGAAGGTCATGCATTAGATGACTGGGAGTGCAGTCTGATGCCCTGTGTCATAATAGGTAAAACTCACAGTTCTCCCTAGAGATTGTTTCTAATGAAACAACATTTCCACAATGTCGTTGGTGGCCAAAAAATTATTGTTACTGCCTGGAAGCTCCTCTTGAAATTCTTTAATACTTCTGGGTAATGAAGATGATGCTGAGGAGATCAGCACAGAGGCAGTGTTTGCTCAGAAAAAAAAAAGTGGTGTTTGACAAAAAATGAGAAGTGGATAAAGTGTTTTTGTATTGCATGCTGACAAATCTGTGCAATTGTCTGCATGAACAAGTCACAGTGTATATATAGGGGAAAAAAAGCAGGATTTGAGTCTACTATCAGGAGCCTACTATCAGACTCCTTGGAGAGCAAAGTCTTTCAGGGGAATGCTCCTCCATGGTGACTTGTCAGCGCTTAGACGATGAGGAATTGTCATTTTACTGCCACCTGGTGCAGCTATTTTTGCAGTGGGACTGACTCTGACAGTGATTTTTCCTGTTGGCTTTGTAGATCCAGTTGAAGGAGAACAAATGGTGGTGACAAAAGACCGTGTCAGTGCTGATCCTGTTGAAACATATGTCCCCTATCACAGCCAATGTTGTCACTATCACAACAGTCAAGAAGCATTGATGGCTTGTCATTGATGTGTGCATTTGACCGAAATCTGTATAGTCATATTGCTCCAAATTAACTAAAGGGTAGGAAAATGATTGAACAGTGTCAATTAAAATCCTCAGCCAGATTCTTCGGTAACTAGTTCTTTTTCAGCAGATTACTTAATTTTTGACAAATGTGTGTCAGATTATCTTGTAAAATCTGTGCTTCAGACAGCTTGTGAAACTTCAGAGTTAGTTACCTGATGGACTTTTTCTGTGTGCTGTCAGACTGGTGCCTTTTGACGGCAAGTGACTGAGCAGCTGTGTCAGAAACACAAGGGTTGAGTTCCAGGTCTTTGTGTTTTGCTGGGTTATGTGCCCTGCTCTAAAAATCCCATTGATTTCTTCTTTTTCAGTTGAAGCATTTGCAGTCTACATAGTAGAGCGTGGTGGGTTTCTTGCAGGTTTGCCACACACTTAAAGCTTCTTAAACAGTATAATTTCTAAAACTGGCCAAGAACAGGTCAAAGGCAGGATGGGGGGAAGATATTGGCTAGAGTTTATTTGTTGTGGCAACAAATTTTTTTTGGTATGGTTTTGTAGAAAGCACATATAGAAGAATATAGAAAGAAATATGTATTTCATTAAAATTATGAGCATTTTAACATGTCTAGTTTTCATGTTAATGTTTCTTGAAGGCCATTAGGATTGATCGCCTCTCAAAAGCTTGAAACCATCTTTGTTCCTTTCATAGGTTGTTGGTTTGGGATTTTTTTTCCTAGTATGCCTCCTTATTACATTTTCTATTACTCTATAGTAGAAGTGTATAAGTAATTTTGAAGCAAGTAGGCATCTGTTTACTTTTTATATTTAAAGTTTTAAATTTTTTTTTTCAGGTACACCAAATTTTTTTATATGGTAGTTTGTAAAGTTACATTTTTAACCAGAGTCTTAGCAATTAAATTGGGTGGTTGTAGTTGTGTGCACGGGCAGTCACAGGATTAGCATTTGATGTTTCTGGTGTGTCATGGGCTATGTTCAGGTGAGTGCCTATCGTAGAATATATATTAAGTTGGAAGGGACCCGCAAGGATCGTACAAGTCCAGTTCTTGGCCCTGCACAGGACAGTGCTTCATTTGATTTAGAGAGGACTTTGTGCCTGTGAGTGCAGTTAACAAAAATTACTTATGTAATCTCCCTGTTATGCCACGTGCTGACCTCACAAATATATATTTAAATGTTTTTGATGAGTTTGCTACTACTTCACGGCTGTATCCCTTTATGTAAGTAAGCATATGTGCTTACTTTATGTGCTTAGAAACCAGCAAAAAAGCAACAAAGATGATGATGATATAATGAAATACAAGCTCTTCCTGTCATTTTAGTACAGAGTGAAAAAGTCACTAGCCAGAATTTTGGGAATAACTGTCAGATCTGTTCAGTCACATTTTGCTTTTGCATAGGAAGAACTGACAGGTATCTTGGGCTTGATCTTCCACTTTGCTTGTATCTTTCTCTTGGGCCTTTTAGGATTTAAAAGATGACTGTGTAAACCTCTCCAAGTCTCCAGATCGTGTAAAACCCAGTGAAAAGACTGGATCATTAAACTGTCTTGTGATGAACTGTGCAGAAGAATGATTGAATTGGTGTCTCATGAGAGGCAATTAGCATTTAAGTAAGGAAAAGAATCCCACTGTGTGATGGGTGTGGTGCTGAGATTTTTTAAAGGGAGAATTGATGAAACAGTTTCCATCAGCAGTTGGTTAAGAAAGCTTTGTTGTTTGAGAGAAATACAATAGTAAGAGTTGAAAAGCACTTAATTTGGAACTAGTTCTGTTCGTCTTTGTAAATAAGTTCTGAAACTTAGCAGCTGCTTCATCTTAAGCTCACAGAAGAGTTGGTCTGAGAGTGAATTGACTAAATCACTTAATTTGAAAGTCAGCTCTCTAAATGAAACGAGCAAGAAATCTTGATTTGTGGATGGGAATGAGTAATTTTTATTTTTCTGTAAAAGGTTAATTCTCAGTGGCTCGATGGTTTATGAACCACCAGAGGATGTGCATACCTGCATGGAATTTACAGTAGAAGCATGGTATTGAAAGCTGATGTGCCCCATCAAGGTGTGTGTGTGGGATGTGCAGCTTCCTGCCATTCTCCGGCCGTTCAGCCTCTCCCAGGTTTGCTGCCGGGAGCATCCTGCTGTGAGAGC